ATCTGGAGATCGCCATTCAAAGTCAGCCCGGGCAGGAAAGTCCGTGAGACTCTTATCTCCAATAAACCTCCAGAAATAAATCTCCAGAAAACTGGAAGTGGTGCTGTGGCTCAACGTGGTAGAGCGCTGGGCTTTTGCCAAAAGGCCCTGAGTTCAAGCCCCACTATCAACAAATGAATGAATGAATGAGTGAATGAATGAATGAAAACTTGAAATGGCAACAGCCGAGGTCAGGAGGTCAGGGAGGGAGGAGGGATCCAGAAGGGAGGCTGGGCTCACCATCGGGAAGAGGCCCAGCGAGTGGTAGCGCCTGGATGTGGTGTTGGGCATGGTCTTGTTGCGCAGGTTCTTCAGCTCCTCCTGCGCTTCGTGGAGCATCTCCATGCACTCGGCATACTTGTCCTCCAGCTCCCGGAGCTGCGGGCAGGAAGCACACGCATGCCTGTGAGCAGCCAGGTGCACACGCCTCCCCTCCTCCGCACCCCCCACCCGTGAGAGCTCAGACAGTAGAGCTTAGCCCTGAGTACAAGGGCTTGAATGGTAGAGCATTAGCACTGAGCACAAGGGCTTGAGCGGTAGAGTGTTAGCCCTGAGCACCAAGGCTTAGACGGTAGAGCAATAGCTCTGAGCACAAGGGCTTGTGAGGTACAGCATTAGCTCTGAACACCAAGGCTCAGACGGTAGAGCATTAGCTCTGAGTATCAGGGCTTGTGCGGTAGAGCATTAGCTCTCAGCACCAAGGCTCAGACAGTAGAGCATTAGCCCTGAGCACCAAAGCTCAGACGGTAGAGCGTTAGCTCTGAGCACAGGGGCTTGCGCGGTAGAGCGTTAGCTTTGAGCACCAAGGCTCGTGCGGTAGAGCATTAGCCCTGAGCACAAGAAACTCAGAAGAGACCTTGGGATGGATCACATTCAGGGCCTATCTGGGGGGCTGGGGCTGACCCCCTCGTCCCCGGTCGGAGGCCCCGATGACACAGGGCCGGAGCACGCACCTCAGCTGTGAGCTGGCGCTGGGCATCTTTGGCGGCCCCCAGGTGCTGGACCAACTCCTCATTTTCCACGGCACACTGGACTCAGCAAAGACAAGGCGTGTTCGTGGGTAAGGTGCTGTGGCCTCTGGTGGCTGGGGACCCTGTGGACCCATTACCCTTCCCCCACCGAACGTGGTCCTGAGCCCACAGGAAGTGTGTACCCCCCACCTTTCTGTGGGTGCCGAGTCTATTTCTTCTCCTCCTCATCCCTCCTTTCCTGCGTTTCCTCATTCCCCTAGGATCCAGAGGATCGAGGTCCTGAGCCCTCATCCATTCTGCTGCTCCAGCAGTTCCTTGCATTTTCGGCCTCCCCAGCTTCTTCCCCCTGAGCCCCATAGCTTTCCTGCCACCCCAAAGCCTTCCCTCGGGTCATCTGCCCGTCATCCCAGCCACTCAGGAGGCTGTAAGATCTGGAGGATGGTGGTTCTAAGCCAGCCCGGGGGACCAAGAAAGTCCGTGAGACTCTGATCTCCCATGAGCCACCAGAAAACCAGAAGTGGGGCCATATATGGCTCAAAATGGTAGAGCACCAGCCTTGAGTGAAAAGCAGCTCAGGGACAGCGCCCAGGCCCCGAGTTCAAGCCCCCCACGACCGACAAACAAAACAAGAAGCAAACAAAGCGGTTACTGCTTTGGCCTTCTTCTGCAAGTCCACGATCTGGGAGAGCAGGTGCGTGATCTCCTCCTGCTGGCGGGCGGCGTCCTCCGTCTTCTTGGCCAGTTCCTCTGAGATGCTGGCGATCTGCACGTTTGCATCTCCTGGGACCAGCGAGGGAGAAAAACAAATCACAGGAGGGGCTGAGTTACAGGGAAAAGTGCACCAAGTGAGTGAAAAAGGATTTTTATTTTTCTGTTTTTGCAGGTGGTAGGGCTTGAACTCATGGCCTGGGTGCTCTCCCTGAGCTGGTTTTTGCTCAAGGCTGGTGCTCTACCACTTGAGCCACAGCATCACTTCTGGTTTTCTGGTGGCTCATGGGAGAGAAGAATCTCACGGACTTTCCTGCCCAGCCTTGGCTTTGAACTGCGATCCTCTCGATCTCAGCCTCCCAAGTAGCTGGGATGACAGGTGATTTTTACATTGTTAACAAGCTGGGCTTTTTCTTATCTCTGAGCCTGGCGTAGGCATGAAATCATCCCCATATTCCAATACAAAGCCGAAGTGGAAATCCTCTATCAATGTCAAGGAGAAAGGCTGGTCAAGACAAGGGGGAAGCTGGGCGCCAACAGCTCACGCCAGTCATCCTAGTTATTCAGGAGGCTGAGATATGGAGGATTGCGGTTCGAGACCAGCCCGAGCAGGAAGATCTGTAAGACTCTCATCTCTAAAGAAACACCAGAAAATGAAGTGGCGCTGTGGCTCATAGTGGTAGAGCCCTCGCCTTGAACACAAAACCTTAGGGACAGCGCTCAGGCCATGAGTTCAAGTCCCATGGCCAACTCAAAAAGAAAAAAGAGAGAGAGAGAAGGGGGGAAGATGTCTCACAGGGTCAGGAGAAGCTTCTAGATCTAAAAGACATGTATTCCCGGGAAACCACAGGCGGGCAAGGATGATGTTGGTGAAATTTAAAGACAGGGCAGGCGGGGAATTCCGAGAGATAGTTTTATCTCCAGTAAACCAGCAAAAAAAAAAAAAACAGAAGTGGAGGCGTGGCTCAAGGGGTAGCGCACCATCAGCCCCAAAATAAATAGAACAAAAGGAGGGTGCTGGGGGCCAGGGGGGGACCACAGATACGCACTAAGCTCCTTCACGCAGTCGCTGACCAGCTGCTGCTCCTTCTCTTCGTAGGTGATGGTCTCTGTCTTCAGCTGGCAGGCCTGGGGAGGGGAGGGGAAAAGGGGAGGGAAAATGGGGGGGGGGTGAGGGCTACAGCATGGGCCAGGGCCCACACCTCCGGCCAGGGCTTGAGGTGCTGCCCGCCAACCAACCCTTGTGAACACGCTCAAATGTACAAAAGCACCGCTCGCTCCCTTCCCCGGCCACCAGGGGGCGACACGCGGGACCAAGGAAATGGAGTGTTGATGGCTGGTTTTCCTCCCTGTCTGTCTCGCCCGGCTCACAGGATGCCCGCCACTAGGTGGTGTGGTGGCACCCAGGAGCCTGCCCGGCCCAGGGGGGCCGAAGCCGGGTAAGCAAGGCTGGTGGTGTGAGCATATGAGCTAGAGCTAGTGTTAACTGTGCAACTACTACATGCCAGGCGATACAAGACGCCATATATATATGGTTTATATGCCTACATTCATAACATATATGGTATTTCTATTTTACGACTTTACATTTACATAGTTTACGTATTATATATAATTATCTGTACTGACAATGTCTCACCTGTGGTGAAATAACCACAAGTTATTTATATAGATGATATATATAGCTTTGTGTAGGTATGAGAGGTATTTACATTTTAGGTATTTACATTTAGCTACTCTATCCATTTATGAAATGGTATAAAATATTTCACCTGTGGTCAAAGGACCCCAGGTTATCTATGTATATTTGCAACATATGTTTACATTTTGTGCGTTTGCGTTTATGTATCTTATAGAATAATATATCTATTTCACCTATGCTGAGGTAAGCGCAGGTGATTTGTATAGATGACGTAGAAAGCCGGGCGCCGGTGGCTCCCGCCCATCATCCTAGCTACTCAGGAGGCTGAGATTGGAGGGTCGCAGCTCAGAGCCAGCCTGGACAGGCAGGAGAGTCTGTGATGGGGGGGTGAGGGGGGGCACCGCACCTCAGATCGGAGGACCACATTCTCTTCTTCCAGATCTTTCAGCTTCTTCTGCAGCGAGTCTAGGTGGAAGTAATTCTGCACGGAGGATGAGGACTCGTTCCTCTTCAGCCTGCGGGGGAAGATGGCCGCGCATGAGGGACGGGCCGTGGGTTTGGAAGGTTTTTTTTTTTTCCTCCAGACCCGTGGTCACCTTGTGGGGGACACCCGGGATTAAAGCATAGAATGTTCCAGAAGCTTAGTGGAGTGGATGGCTTTTGTTTCATATTAAATCATGTATGTTAGTGGGGCTGGGAAGGTGGCGGCCCTGGGTTCAAGTCCTCAGGACCACATCCACAGAAAAAGCTGGAAGTGACGCTGTGGCTCAAGGGGTAGAGCGCTAGCCTTGAGCAAAAGAAGCTCAGGGACAGCACCCAGGCCCTGAGTTCAAGCCCCAGGACTGATTAAAATATAATAATATATTTGATTATTTTAGACTAAATAATTTATTATTCCATGTGTGCAGTATAATCAATTGATATTGTTCTGAGTTAATTACAACTACATTGTGTTCTAATTGTAATATAATAATAACATAGTTATGATACTTACAACTGTATAATAACATGTTAAAAATTATGTATTTTTTTTCTTTTTTTTCCTTTTTGGGGTCCGGTCGTGGGGCCTGAACTCTGGGCCTGGGCGCTGTCCCTCAGCTCTTCAGCTCAAGGCTAGCACTCTACCACTTGAGCCACAGCACCACTTCCAGCTTTTTTCTTTATGCTTATGTGGTGCTGAGGAATGGAACCCAGGGCCTCAGGCATGCAAGGCAAGCGCTCTACCACTGAGCCATCTTCCCAGCCCAAAAATAATGTATATTATATGTGTTAATTACTATTGTTTTAATAGTTACTACCAGTTACTATTGCTACAATATAATGCAATATAAATATATTATAATTATGTAGTAACATTCTATTATTGCAATATGAAACAATACAATTCAAATGTAACTTATATGTTTGTATTATATAACGTGACATATAGTTTATTATATCTATAACCATAATATAATTACTATTATTGATTGCCATTATTATATAATTCAAATAAAATATAAATATACTATGTAATTGATAATGTATTACAATTATTCCTACTTATTATTATATAATAATTGTTCTGTGTTCATTACTATTATTATTTCATGCAAACATTATTACTGCTACTGTTACCTTGTTTGTGTGTGTGTGATTGTGTGAGTGTGTGTGTGTGTGTGTGTGTGTGTGCGTGCGCAGGTACTGTACAACAGCCTTAGCTTTGTCACTCAAGGCTGGTGCTCCGCCACTTGAACTATCACCTTAGCGACTCAGGAGGCTGAGATCCAGAGGATCGCGGTTCAAAGCCAGCCCGAGCAGGAAAGCCCGAGAGACTCTTATCTGCAATGAACCACCAGAAAACCGGAAGTGGCGCTGTGGCTCAAGTGCTAGAGCGCTCGCCTTGAGCTGAAGAGCTGAGGGACAGCGCCCAGGCCCAGAGTTCACACACACACACACACACACACACACACACACACAGGGAGGAGGGAGATCCGTCCCCGAGGGCCAGGCTCGGACAGTCCCACCGCCATGCTGGGTCTGTGGTGTGGGGGACCCCACCAGGGACATGCTGCACCCCACCCAGCGCCGGGGCCCCGGGCGCTCACGGCGTGGAGCACACGGACTCGGGCTCGCTCTCCTCGGCCGCGCTGGTGTAAAACTGCAGCAACTCGTCTTTCATGGACAGCTCATGGCGGAGCTGGGACACCTGTGCGGAGACACGGGGCAGGTCGCGGGGTGTGTGAGGGTGTCCTGGGGCTTGAACTCGGGGCCTGAAGGCTGAGGTTTTTCACTCAAAGCTGGTGCTCTACCACTTGGACCACGCTGCCACTCCCAGCTGGCTTTTTTTGCTGGTTAAGTGGAGATCAACAGTCTCACAGACTTTCCTGCCCGGGGCTGGCTTTGAACCACGATCCTCCGGACCTCAGCCTCCTGAGTAGCCGGGATGACAGGGGTGAGCCAGCCACCTGCCCCCAGGTAGTCTGGCCGAGCATGGAGGGTGTGGTTGGAGTCTGGATTAAGGGCAGAGGGCTGTGCCCGCCTCCCCCTGCCCCCTCCCCCCCAGATCCTCCCCCCTGCCCCCCCCCCACCCTCACCTCCTCTCGGATGTGCTCCACCTGCTCCTCCAGCAGCTCATTTCTCTCCGTCAGCGTCTTGTTCTTCTTCAGCAATGACTGGCCGATCCGCGCGGCCAGCTCCAGGTCCCGCTCTTTCTGCGGAACGAGCGGGGGAGAGCTGGGGCCCAAGACTGACCAACCCACCAAAAGCCCGGTGCAGAAGGCACGCCAGGGCTCACGCCTGCCATCCCAGCCGCTCAGGAGGCTGAGATCCGGAGGATCGTGGTTCTAAGCCAGCCCGGGCAGGAAAGTCTAAGACTGCTATCTAAGCAGCAAAAAAAACAAAAACAACAAAAAAAACACTTCAAGTGGAGCTGTGACTCAAGTGACAGGGCCCTTTTGAGGGGGAGGGATAAGGTGCAGGGGAGCCAAGCAAGAGTTTAAGCCCAGTACCCACAGAGATAGACAGACAGACAGATACACAGACAGACACAGATAGACAAGCAGATAGGTAGGCAGACAGATACATATGTACATACATACATATATACATACACAGATACAAACAGACACACAGGCAGATAGATACACAGACAGAAATATATACATACATACACAGACAGACACAGATAGGCAGACAGGCAGATAGACGGAGAGACAGATAAATACATACAGTCAGACACAGATAGACTGACAGGCAGATAGATAGATAGATAGATAGACAGACAGATGGACAGATGGACAGACAGACAGATAGATAGGTAGGTAGGTATGTAGGTAGATAGATAGACAGATAGACAGACAGATAGCTGAATGGATGGATGGATAGATGGATAGATAGATAGACAGACAGACGGATGGACAGACAGACAGATAGATAGGTAGGTAGGTAGGTAGATAGACAGGTAGATAGATAGACAGACAGACAGACAGACAGATAGACAGACAGATAGCTGAATGGATGGATGGATAGATAGATAGATAGACAGACAGACAGACAGACAGCTGTATGGATGGATGGATATAGATAGATAGATAGACAAATAGATAGCAGACAGGAAAGGAAAAGAGAGAGAAAGAAAGAGGGAGGATAGGAGGGAGGGAGGGAGGGAAGGAAGGAAGGAGGGAGGGGGGAAGGAAGGAAGGAAATAAGGCAGGAAGGAAGGAAGGAAGAAAGGAAGGAAGGGAGGGAGGAAGGGAGGGAGGGGAGGCAGGGGAAGGAGGGAGGGGGGAGGGAGGAAACCCCCTGGGCAGGGTGCACTGTTTCCAACAGCAACCAGGAAGGAAGAGGCATTCACGAGTGGTGTGGGTCCTAGGAAGTAAGGTTATCAGACTGGTCCTTCCCTTCCTGGGGAAACTGAGGCAAGCACAGGACGGGACCAGCACGCCCCCTCCCTCCCTCTGGGCTGGCTTGAGCCAGCCCTGCCCTGTTCACCGGGGAGCTTGACTTGGCACCGCCACGCCACGCCACAAGCAGACTGACTCATTCTCCCCAGCACCCAACCGTGACTCAGGCCCCGCGGGGGGGCGGGGGGGAGGGAGGGGAGAAGCCCTGTTGTAAAAGAGGGGGTGGTGGCGGACTCCACCAGCCACAACAAAGCAGGGGGAACCCTCCTTCAAACTCACACCCAAGCCGAGTGCGGTGGCTCCCTCCTGTCATCCCTGCCACTCGGGGAGGCTGGGATCTGGAGGTCCGTGGTTGGAGGCCTGGGCTGGGAATGTCACCCCCCCCTTCCCATGAGACTCCTCTCTCCCACAAAGCACCCAGAAAAACCAATAGTGGCGCTGTGGCTCAAAGTGGTAGAGCGCTACCCTTGAGCAAAAGAAGCTCAGAGGCCGCGCCCAGGCCCTGAGTTCAAGTCCTGGAACTGTCACAAAAAAAAAAAAAGGGGTTAGGGAAATTTCTTTGGATTTTTTTTAAATGTATTTGCTGTGTGACTACCAAAACTCTGCATAATAATAATAATACTAATAAAAAATCCGGGACTAAAGGCAGACCCTCCTGGACTGGGGCTCGGGCCTAAGCAACAGGAACTGACCATCATCAATGACAGACAGCTCCATCCAGGGCTCACCTCCTCGAGAAGCCGTGTGACCGCATCTAAGTCGCTGTATGTTTTAGTCATCTGGCCAACTCTCTCTGCACATAAAACTACGAGAAACAGGGGGAGAAAAAAATCCAGTGAGATCCCGGACACCCCAAAACCTATCAGCAGAAATATCATGTCCAGCCGGGCGCCGGTGGCTCACACCCATCATCCTTGCTCCTCCTGGGGAGGCCGAGATCTAGAGGATCGTGGTTCATAAGCCAGCCTGGGTAGGGGTATGTGTGTGTGTGCTGTGTGGAGGGGGGTGGGGGGAGACAATGGAGTCAAATTCAAATGAGACCAGAGGGAGGGAGCCGAAGATTGGCTCTCCCCCTGACAGCCCGGACAGATGCTTCCCCTTGTCAGCCAATCACATGACACTTATGCAAATGAAGCCACGCCCCCCATGTCACTGTGAGAATAAATACTGGCCAACCCAGGCGGATACACACAAGTCTGCTTGCCTCTAATGTGCGAGGCCAATGGGGCTCGGGGTGGTGGGTTCTGGGGGTACCCGACATACACACCACCGCCCCCAGGAGAACCTGTTTCACTCTATGGCAGGAGGCTGGGAGGAAAGGCTCCTCATTTGAAGCCAGCCTGGGCAGACAAAAGGCGAGAGACTCATCCTGCAGCGAGCTAGCAAGAAAACAACACAACACAAAACAAAAAAGGGAGGGGAGGTGATGGTGGAGCCAGCAGCTGGAGGGGAAAATGGGAAAGAGAGGCACCCAAGCCGTAGGTTCAAACCCCAGGACCGGTCCATACACATACACACAAAGGGTAGCTCAGGCCTGTCATCCTAGCTACTCAGGAGGCTGAGATCTGGAGGATCGCAGGTGGAGGCCAGCCAGGGCAGGAAAGTCCGTGAGACACTCCTCTCCAATGAACCGGAAGTGGCGCCATATATATATGGCTCAAAGTGGTAGAATGCTATCTCAGGACCCACTTAAAGAAAGAAAAAAAAGGGCCTGGAAGGGTAGAAGGAATGTGGAAGGCGGGACCAAGGCTGGGTGTGTGTTTACAACGGGGCTCTCTGGACAAGGTCACCGTAGCCATGTCTCCGGGGTTCTGTTTGCAAAACTGGAATAATATTTACCCGCAGCTCGGTTTGCACGAGGAAGCAGGTGACCTTTGAAAGTGCTCAGCAGCCTCGACCGCACCTCCAGAGCACCCCAACATTTGCTGTTTGTCATGTTTGTAGTCTAATGCCAGTCCTGGGCTGCAACTCGGGGACTGAGCTCTGTCCCTGAGCTTTGTCACTCACGGCTGGCGCTCTACCACTTGAGCCACAGCTCCACTCCTGCTTTTTTTTTTTTGGTGGTTTACTGGAGATCAGAGTCTCATGGACTTTCCTGCCAGGGGCCTGGTCTGGAACCCTGATCCTCAGATCTCAGCCTCTTGAGTAGTTAGGATAAACAGACATGAGACAGCAGCACCCACAGCCAGTCTAGAATGTTCTACCAAAAGCACCAGGCTGAAACACACTGTGACCAGGAACAATGACATTCTGCCCAACATGGTTTTGGTTTGGGTTTTGGAGGATCACAGGTGTCACCCTGAAACTCGAAATTCTTCCTTATCTCCTGGATGTCTAGCACATTCTTTCTTTCACGAGCCCTGGGCAAACCTCAAATGTTAGTTTTTGTTGCAAAGGAAACAAATAACGTTGATCATGAATTGGGTGTTTTTTTTCTTCCCCTTTGAGGTTAGTGCCAGGGAGAAAATAAACAGATAATAATAATAATAATAATACAGGTAGCCATCTTCCACCTCCAGAGCAGAGATCTGATCTGGGAAAGCAGGAAGATGGGTGGGAGGAAGAAAGGGAGTGGAACTGGCACCCCCAAAAAATGTCCCCTTTCCATCTTGAATTCTAGACAAGCCAGAGACCCTGGTCTCTTGAGACATGCCCCGTCGCCAACGAAATAGCCCAGAGGTGGTTGCCAAACCCAGATAATTGGACCCCAACACCCCCAAAATTTCTGACCCAGTTAGGTGAGGGGTTAAGTCTCCAAAATAACTGGTGGGGGGGTTATTTTCCTAAGTTTTTTTTCTTTTTGGTCGGTGGTAGGGTTTGAACTCTGGGCCTGGGCGCTGTCCCTCAGCTCTTCAGCTCAAGGCGAGCGCTCTACCACTTGAGCCACGGCGCCATTTCCAGTTTTCTGGTGGTTCACTGGAGATCAGGATCTTGTGAACTTCCCTGCCTGGGTTGGCCTAGAACTGTAATCCTCTGGATCTCAGCCTCCTGAGTAGCTAGGATGACAGGCAGGAGCCACCGGCTTCCCATTAATTAGTTTTACTGAGTGTTTCTGAAAGGGAGGTGTTAGCATTATTTCTCAGGCCTACCACATCAACAAGAAGAAGAAACACACACACACACACACTTGATTATGGCCAGGTCATAAATAATTCTAGCAAGGAAGGGGACCTGAGCCAGGAAGATAAGCGCTCTTAAAGCAGTGCTTCTGATAAGATGATTCAGACTATTTTCACCTGAAGGACCTCCACCCTCCCCCTCTCCCTCCCCCCCTCCCGGCCCAAGATCATTAGCATAGGACCACCTGCCTGGTTCCCCCAAAACCTTTTTTCTCAGTGTTAAGAGGGAGGGAGGGAAGAAAGCCCAGGGAGCCAGTGGCTCACACCTGTCATCCTAGCCAATCAGGAGGCTGAGATCTGGAGGATCCTGGTTTGAGGCCAGGCCCGGGCAGGGAAAGTCCATGAGACTCTTCAATCAACTAGCAGAAAACCAGAAGTGGCACTGTGGCTCAGTGGTAGAGTGCTCACCTAGCATGCATGAATCCCTGGGTTCAATGACTCAGTACCCCATACACAGAAAGAGTCAGAAATGAAGCTGTGGCTCAAGTGGTAGAGCACCCACTCCACCCCCAGCCTTGAGCAAAAACAAAACAATCACAACAAGAAAAAAAAAAAAAGAGTACAGTCAGTCAGGAGGCCACACCAGTCAAGCCTGTTCAGAGACCAGAAGGACAAAGAAAACATAAAGAAAGAAATGTAAAAGTCAAATAGGAAGTGCTACTGGGGCTCAAGTGGTAGAGCAGCGCCCAGGCCCTGAGTTCAAGTCCCAGGACTGGCAAAAAAAGAAAATACAAAGAACATTACTTATTTTATAATCACATCAAGTAGAGTTCTATAAAGTAAAATGCTCATAAATATGGGCATATAAAATAAAACATATAATTATGAAAAATAAAATATGCATAAAATATATCGCCATATAAAATGAAAATGGTTATCTACATGAAATATAGCTATATAAAATGAACCCATCACCTAAAATAAAATACACATAAAAGAGCTATGTGAAATAAAATAATATAGTTATGTGAAAGTTAAAGAGCAAGCAATGTAAAACATCATGAAATACAAAAAACACACACAGCTATGTCAAGTAAGCGACACAGAGCTGCCTAAAACAGGATCTCTGGCTACATAAAGGAAATACCCTCCTCCTCCAGGACGCCCAGGCGCAGGCTGCTGGGCTCTTCCTCCTCCTCCTCCTCCTCCTCCTCGTAGGACTCGGGTTCGAAGCTCACCCCCCGCGTCAGGGACATGGCTCCGGCCAGCGCCCCCGCACCTGACACACTGGGCTTAAGGGGCCATGCTTGGGGGTGGCCCTGGCCACTTAGCCCGGAGGGGCCATGAGGGGCTGGCAGTCGGGCCCGGCCGGGCCGGAGCCTCTGGAGACTAGAGGCGGAGGGTGTGTGCGGGCCAGCAGCGCCCAGGACACCGGGGCGGGGGGCGTGGCCCCGCAGGGAGCCGGGGGCGGGGCCGGCTGTGGTCTCCTGGGGACCT